AGAATAATATGCCAGGAGGAAGGGAGGGAGGAAAAGAGGAGGGAGGGAGGGAAGAAGGGAAGAAGGAAGGAAGAAGGAAGGAAGAGAAAGTAGGGAGGGAGGGAAGAAGGAAGGAAGGAAGGAAGAGAAAGAGGAGGGAGGGAGGGAAGAAGGGAAGAAGGGAAGGAGGAAGGGAGGAAGAAAAAGAGGAGGGAGGGAAGAAGGGAAGAAGGAAGGAAGAAGGAAGGAAGGGAGGAAGAAATAGAGGAGGGAGGGAGGGAAGAAGGGAAGAAGGAAGGAAGGAAGAAAACGAGGAGGGAGGGAGGGAAGAAGGAAGGAAGGAAGGAAGGAAGGAAGGAAGGAAGGAAGGAAGGAAGGAAGGAAGGAAGGAAGGAAGGAAAAGAGGATGAAGGGCGGGAGGGACGAAGGAAGGAAAGAAGGAATGAAGGGAGGAAGAAAAAGAGGAGGAAGGGAGGGAAGAAGGGAAGAAGGAAGGAAGAAAACGAGGAGGGAGGTTGGGAAGAAGGAAGGAAAGAAGGAAGGAAGGAAGGAAGGAAGGAAGGAAGGAAGGAAGGAAGGAAGGAAGGAAGGAAGGAAGGAAGGAAGGAAAAGAGGATGAAAGGAGGGAGGGAGGGAGGGAAGAAGGAGGAAAGGAAGGAAGGAATGAAGGGAGGAAGAAAAAGTGGAGGAAGGAACGGAAAAAGGAAGGAAGGAAGGAAAGAAAGAAAGAAGGAATGAAGGGAGGAAGAAAACGAGGAGGAAGGGAGGGAAGAAGGGAAGGAAGAAGGAAGGAAGAAAACGAGGCGGGAATGGGGGAAGGAGGCATGTCCACAAGTTAGGAGATATAATACTTAGAATAATTAAAAGGAAGACAGCAAAAAAGGAGAGAGAAAACAATTCCCCCATATATATATATTCAGTGCTTTAACTATGGCAGATCTGAAATTAACATTTGACCACAAAAAAAAAAAAAGCATGGTGTTGCCCACACTTAACAGCGATCTGGTTCCAGAAAGAGCTGATAGGACTAAATCTTCAAGTAGGTCCTATTTTGGAGGAGAGCGCGACACAGGAGACGCAAAGAAGACCTCACTCTGGTCATCGTATAGATAGAATATATTTCACTCTCACCACATAAATACAAAACATTCAAAAATTCAGAACAAGGGTTAGTCGAAGAGGGGGACGGTCGCACCTTCATTCATGTTTTTTTTTTCCATCACTAGTTGCCTAGAAACTTCAGACGCAAATAATTTACAACAAAACCACGATGAGGAGGAAGAGGAGGAGGAGGAAGAGGAGGAAGGCGCCTTTCGTGCTGCGCCCTCGGACGCGCTCTCTCGCCGCTCTTCTGGGTCTAGGAGGAATGCTATAGTATTATCATTATCATTATTATTATCCACTACATCAACCATTCCACTTTTTTGCCTTTTTTGGTTAAAGAGTTTGGTGGCACATGTGTCATCTCAGTCTGTAAACGCAACGCACCCAAATGCTTTTTTTGGAGGGAGAGGAAAATTGAAAAGCCGAAGCAGCTAAAAACGCAATGTTGGTTATTTAAGTTTTGTCTCTCCTTGGTTTTTGTTTCCTAACCAATTTCAAATCCTGGGATTCCATGTAAAAAAGAGGGAGGGTGATCCAGGAAGGCAGAGTTTTAGGAAAAACAGAAGAGTGTTTTTCTTTTGTTTGTACAAAATCCAATCCTAGAATAGGTTCGTTGCCTTTTGCATTTGTTTCCATTTGAAAGGGAAGCCTTTTAGGGAGGAAAATGTGGTCAGAAAGAGGCGAAAAGTTCCTAGTTTAAGGTCGGGTTTAGGTTTGTAAGAAAGCCAAAGCGCTATGCTGGAGTTGAAGAGATTCGGGGTTTTCCTGTGCACACCGTTCTCCAAACATCGCCATCTCTCCGGGTTTTGTTTTGATTTATTTGGCCTCTCAAGAGCTTAAATTTGGATTCAGGCGGGAAAGAGGCGATATTTGACCTCCATTTTCTAATGTTGAAACCGTGGACTGGATTCCTCGCCCCTCTGAACTTGGAGCCACCAGCGAGGAGTTTATATTAACTCTGGTTTCTTTCAGATTTTCGCTTCAAGAAAAGCTTGTTACTATCCTCTTTCTTCTGGGCTGCGTGATGGAATAAAGCTCAAATTCAAATCTGGAAGCCTTTTTGGGGTGTTTGCTTGTTTTTGGCGGGAAGAGGGTTGGAAGAAAATCCACAATGAGGTGAAGAAACATCTCTTGGGTCTCATCTGCCTTTGAGGGAAAAAGGGGAACCCCAAACTCCTATTTGGAAGAGAGACTGCAAGGTTTTGGAGGGCTGACTCCATGGAAAAGGGATGATGGGGTTTGAGGGGTGTCTTCTTTATTTTCGGGTCTCCAAAGTTTCGCTTCCAATTGTGCCTGAGGGAAAGGGCATGCCTTCAGAATTAGCCCCAAGCCAAGGCAAAAAGGGAAGCGCCATCCTTTCAAAGTCACATTTAAACATAAATTAATGCGAGGGGTCTGTTTTGGGCGTTTTAGACTTGCGAGCCAAATTCCCCACCGTGTGGGAGAGAAAGACGGCGCCTGTGTGTGTGTATATACACACATATATACACACATACACAGAGAGAGATGCCGCCTTTCTTTCCCACACTATATATAATGCTTTGATTTAGGCGGGAAGGGCTGAGTGAGGGAAAATAGGTAGATAATAAATACATATAAGGTAAAGGTTGTCCTCTGACATTAAGTCCAGTCATGTCTGACTCTGGGGTGTGGTGCTCATCTCCATTTATAAGCCAAAGAGCCGGCGTTGTCCGTAGACACCTCCAAGGTCATGTGGCCGGCATGACTGCATGGAGCGCCCTTACCTTCCCGCTGGAGCGGTACCTATTGATCTACTCACATTTGCATGTTTTCGTACAGCTAGTATATATATATATATATATATATATATATATATATATATATATATATATATAAAATATGTGATTCCATCTGAACGTGAGGAAGAACTTCTATCTGAACACGAGGAAGAACTTCCATCTGAACACGAGGAAGAACTTCCATCTGAACATGAGGAAGAACTTCCATCTGAACGTGAGGAAGAACTTCCATCTGAACGTGAGGAAGAACTTCCATCTGAACGTGAGGAAGAACTTCCATCTGAACATGAGGAAGAACTTCCATCTGAACATGAGGAAGAACTTCCATCTGAACATGAGGAAGAACTTCCATCTGAACATGGGGAAGAACTCCCATCTGAACATGAGGAAGAACTTCCATCTGAACATGAGGAAGAACTTCCTGACTGTGAGAGCCGTTCAGCAGTGGAACTCTCTGCCCCGGAGTGTGGTGGAGGCTCCTTCTTTGGAGGTTTTTAAACAGGCTAGATAGCCATCTGTCAGGGGTGCTTTGAATGCAATATTCCTGCTTCTTGGCAAGGGGTTGGACTGGTTGGCCCATGAGGTCTCTTCCAACTCTATGATTCTATGTGTATTACATATACATTTTTTAAAATTTTCCCCTCGGCATTAAGGCTATTGGAGTCCGACTCTGGGGGGTGGTGCTCATCTCCATTTCTAAGCCGAAGAGCCGGTGTTGTCCATAGACACCTCCAAAGTCATGTGGTTGACATGACTGCATGGAGCACCGTTACCTTTCCACCCGAAGCAGTACCTATTGATCTACTCATATTTGCATATTCGAATTGCTAGGTTGGCAGAAGCTGGGACTAACAACGTGAGCTCACTCCACCTCCCGCTGATTCGAACTGCCAACCTTCCAGTCAGCAAGTTCTGAAGCTTAAGGGTGGGGCCTCTCATAGATATACATATACATTCTCCATTACTTAGCCTTTCCCGCCTAAATCAAAACATAATATATAATATATAATATTCTCTCTCTCTGCAGCTGCTCTCCCTCACTCAGCTTTTCCCGCCTAAACCAAAACATTGAAAACTCTCTCCAGGTCTATGAGTCCAACTGAGGTCTAAATAAGCATCGCCAAGATTTCTTAATTGGCTTTCCCTCCATTCCCCCGGTCCCTTCTTTTTCTCAAAGGCTGTGCAACGTGGGAAGTGAGGAGGAAACCTGGGAAGTTTGGGTTGGGCTGGTCTGTCTTCGATTGCCAGCCTCAGCCTTCCTTTCTTGCCTTCCTCTTTCTTCTGAGCTGAGATTCAAGATGAGGTTTCAAACTCCCAAAAGCAAAAATGTAAGGCAAGAGAGAGAGAACACTCACACTTGCCTTCTTTCTCCCACACTGGACCTTCCTCAGAAATATTGCTAGGTTGGCAGAAGCTGGGGCTAACAACGGGAGCTCACCCTCTCCCGCTGATTCGAACTTCCATTTCAAAATTATACCTCACAACCTCTGAGTTGCTCAGTTTCAAATATACCTCACAACCTCTGAGGATGCCTGCCATAGATGTGAGCGAAATGTGAGGAGAGAATGTGGGTTGTTGTAGGTTTTTCGGGCTATATGGCCATGTCCTAGAAGCATTCTCTCCTGACAAAACAGGGGAACTCCAGACGAGAAACAATCACCTCTCAACAAAGGAATTCTCCAGGCAGTAAGAAGCCAGACCTCGAAACTGCTAGGCCATTAAATGCTAATCAAGGTGGCCAATTGAAACATTCACACCTAACTCCAACAGACAAGAGTTCTTTCTCCCACCCTGGACCTTCCACAGATATATAAACCCTATTTTCCTAGTTTCCAACAGACCTCACAACCTCTGAGGATGCTTGCCACAGATGCAGGCGAAAGGTCAGGAGAGAATGCTTCTAGAACATGGCCATACCGCCCGAAAAACCTACAACAACTCAGTGATTCCGGCCATGAAAGACTTCGACAATGCATTGAGGAGAGAATACTTATGGAACATGGCCATACAGCCCGGAAAACTCACAGCAACCCAGTGGACAAAGCAAGAGTTGGGGGGGGGGGGGCGCAAAGGGGTCAGGAGGGCGAGGGAATGAGAGGCCACGTTGTTGGGAAGACGGGAAATGCGAGGACTGAGGAGGGAGACGGTGGTGTGGCCACGGAGAGGGTGGGTGGATTGTATATATATTCCATAAAGAGTCGCCACAAAGAGATCAGTATCAAGCGAGGCCCAGTCAGTCCAGGGCCTTCTTCTCGGCGCCTTCTTTGCTGGCCGTCCGCGAGTAAGGCTCGAAGGCCGAGGAGCTCAAGTAGCGGGCGGAGAGTTCCTGCAAGTTCCCGGCCAGCGAGCCGGCCATGGCGAGGGGCGCCGAGGAGAGCCGCCCGGCCACCGAACCCAGCAGCGAGGGCACCGGCAGGCTGAAGAGGTTGTGCGGCGGCGGCGGAGGAGGAGGAGGGCCCGGCGGGGAAGGGTGTCCCGGCCCCACGGCGCCGCTGCTGACGGAAGGATGATGCGGGGAGCAGCCCCCCGAGGCGCCCGTCCCCGAGCCCCCGCCCCCGCCCAGCCCGGGCCCCCGCAAGGCCGAGCCCAAGGCGGCGGCGGTGGTGGCTGCGGCGGCGCAGGGCGGGAGCAGGCCCGGCAGGCCCGGCGGGGAGAGGAGGCGGCCCTGCTCCAGCAGCCGGAGCACGCTGCACGTGGCCGCCGTCTCCGACACCACCGACTTCAGCTCCGAGTCCTTGCCCTGGTCCTTCTTCTGCTTGGTGCGCCGGTTCTGGAACCAGACTTTGACCTGAGGAGGAGAAGAAGAACAAGGTGTCACTCAAGCCAGCAAGGAGAATCGGGGCCCATCCCTATACAGTCCCGATCATTTTATCTCTGAGGGGTTCTCAGCAAGCCAGAGTCCAAAAGCGGCAGGCTAAAACCCAGAACCTCGAGTCATGGCTGATATGGAATGAGAGGCTCCCTCCTGGGCACAGGCACAAGGTGTCACTCAAGCCAGCAAGGAGAATGAGGCCCCATCCCTATACAATCCTGATCATCTTATCTCTGAGGGGTTCTCAGCAAGCCAGAGTCCAAAAGCGGCAGGCTAAAACCCAAAACCTCGAGTCATGGCTGATATCGAATGTGAGACTCCCTCCTGGGCACAGACACAAGGTGTCACCCAAGCCAGAAAGGAGAATCGGGGGATCATCTGCTCTGAGGTGTCCCCCCCATCCCACCCCCACCCCCTCACCCAGCACAGGCACAAGGTGTCACTCAAGCCAGCAAGGAGAATGGGGGCCCATCCCTATACAATCCCTAGCATCTTATCTCTGAGGGGTTCTCAGAAAGCCAGAGTCCAAAAGTGGCAGGCTAAAACCCAGAACCTCAAGGCATGGCTGATATCGAATGAGAGGCTCCCTCCTGGGCACAGACACAAGGTGTGACTCAAGCCAGCAAGGAGAATTGGGGCCTAACCCTGTACAATCCAGATCATCTGCTCTGAGATGTTCTCAGCAAGCAAGAGTCCCAAACTGGCAGGCTAAAATCCGTAACCTCAAGCCATGGCTGTGATCGAATGAGAGACTTTCTCCCCCCATTCCGGGCACAGGTACAAGGTGTCACCCAGGCCAGCAAGGAGAAGGGGGTCCCAACCATATACAATCCAGATCATCTGCTCTGAGGTGTTCTCAGCAAGCGAGAGTCCAAAAGTGGCAGGCTGAAATCTGTAACCTGAAGCCATGGCTGTTATCAAATGAGAGACTCCCCCCTGGGCACAGGCACAAGGTGTCACCCAAGCCAGCAAAGGAGAATAGGGGCACATCCCTATACAATCCAGATTATCTCCTCTAAACTGATCCAAAATGAGAGATCCCCCACCCCACCCCTACACACAGAGAGAAGACTGGGAGGTTTAGGAGGCACTGAACAGGCTGCGGTCTGGCACCATGAGATGTATTTATTTATTTATTTATTTTATTTTATTACTGTGCTTATATACCGACCGTTTCTCAGCCTAAATCGGCGACTCAACGCGGTTTACAACACAACGACAAGCAGCAATATTCCATTAAAAAGCATAAAAACACATACACAATACACAATATTATTGGGCCACCAATAATAATCCAATGCATCTCTTAATTGTAGTCGCAATCCAATTTCGTCGTCTGTGATTAACCAATCCTTGTTCATCAGTTTCGTTGCACCAGATTAATCGAATGCTTGTTTAAACATCCATGTCTTCAACCTTTTTCGAAATACCATCAGCGAAGGGGCTGATCTCACCTCTATGGGGAGGGCATTCCAAAGCCGAGGGGGCCACCACAGAAAAGGCCCTGTCTCTCGTTCCCGTTGGTAGAGCCAATCACCAATTTTAAGAAACAGGGTCACACTTGACATGCAAGTGTGGAGAAGAGGGTAGAAGAGGGGCCACAGATATACAGAGATACTCAGCAAACAAGAGTCCAAACGTGTAGGAACAGCCAGATGAGAAACTCCCTCCTGGGCACAGAGAAGATTGGTCTGTGCCTCTGGTACCAGGAGATGCAAAACCAATCTTAAGCAATGGGGCTATAAAGTGAAGCCCACTACATGCGAGTGTGGAGAAGAGCAAGCCACAGACCACCTATTACAATGCAGTCTGAGCTACATGCACAATGCACAATTGAGGACCTTCTTATAGCAACACCACAGTCACTCCAAGTGGCCAGCTACTGGTCAAAGGATATTTAATAGAATGCCAAGTTTGCAAACTTTGTGTTTTTTAAACACACTACAACTGTTCGCAGTGTGGACTATATTATCCAGTTCAAAGCAGATAATGTGAGTTATCTGCTTTGATAAATGTGGAAAATAGCATTTATAACCAGGCCTGCAGCCATGAGGGGGGTTAGGGGTTCTACCCCCCCCCCTTGAAATTTTTCAGGTTACAAAAAAACTGGTTTACTCATGAATTTTAACTAGTTAACCAAATCCCCATGCTAAGTCTATGAGAAGCAAACATTAAAGGAGTCCCTCCAGAATTGCAAGCACTATCTCCAGCATATGTTGACTATTTATTTATTTATTATTTACTGTACTTATACTCCACCCTTCTCACCCCCAAGGGGGATTCAGGGTGGCTTACGAACTAGGGAAATAATTCAATGCCAGATTCAAAAATAATAACAATAACAGTAAAACACAATATTATAAATCTTTTAAAAACATAGACATGTCACTTACAAATAATCTTTCAGATTATTAAAAACATAAAAGATCTAGCACCAACTTAACTTTATAAACATTAAACCAATGGCTTATTCACACTGTCATTCACACTGTCATTACTTGCAGCAATAGCAAATATAGTAGAAGCAACACAAGTTGGCCCACCCATAACTGACAGGCAAAGCCTAAGGCAGGGGTCCTCAAACATTTCAAACAGAGGGCCAGGTCACAGTTTCTCAAACTGTTGGAGGACCGGATTATAATTTGAAAAAATACGAATGAATTCCTGTGCACACTGCACATATCTTATTTGTAGTGCAAAAAACACTTTAAAACAATATGATTATTAAAATGAAGAACAATTTTAACAAATATAAACTTATCAGTATTTCAATGGGAAGTATAGGCCTGATTTGGCTGATGAGATAGGGTTGTTGTTGTTGTTGTTGTTGTGTGCTTTCAAGTCGTTTCAGACTTAGGTTGACCCTGAGTGAGGGCCGGGTAAATGACCTTGGAGGGCCGTATCTGGCCCCCGGGCCTTAGTTTCAGGACCCCTGGCCTAAGGTATGAGGGGAATATGAAAAAGCCAAATATTGAAGACCAAGAAGACAGTAGGTTGGGAACCATTGCAGCAGCAGGTCCTGATGCAGACCCCAGAACATGCACACCTGAACTACAGGTGAAAACTGAGGAAACTGTGGAAACTGCAGTGTCTACCTCATTGCCAAGATATGTATTTCCTGTGGTTAGGAAGAGGCATCTAATATTTCAACCCAAAGGGTTCAGCAGATTCCCCTTGTTAGCCTACTCATTTCATGTACAAGGTGCTCTCTGTAAATGCTGTGTGGTGCTTGGAGGAGACGTTAGGGGTAAAGGTGGTCACCAGAAGCTTGGTGCATTGGTGGTTAAACCATTGGTGTGATGGAAAATGCAATAGAAGTCTTCAATAGACACCAAAAACCAGAGTACCATCAGAACAACTTGTGCTTGGTTGGAAATTTCTTGCTAATTCACAGTGGAACCGGTAATAGGAAGAAAGCAGAAGAAAACATTGAGAAACTGCCAATTGTGGAAACTATTGTTCTTTGTCCGGAGACACTGACCTGAGAAGTCATCTGGGGGGAGGGGGTTTAAACCCCTCCTGATTCTTTTTCTGGCTATGGGCCTGGTGTGGACTATATCATCCAGTTCAAAGCAGATAATGTGGAATATTTGCTTTGATAATTGTGGAAATCTGCATTTATAACTTTTGGAAAAACACATTTTGGAGATCATAACTTTAGAAAAGCATGACCTTTCAGAGAAGAGCCAAAACCCCTTTAGAGTAGAATCTTCTTTTGTGGATAGAACCAGATATAATTATGCAAGGCAATGGTTTCAGTTGTTAGACTGAATAACCTGATGTGTTAGGAAAACAAGAGATTTTGCCAGTGCATAGAAACAGCAGAGCTTTAGAAGTGTTTAGAAGTGTTTTTTTCCGGTTTTATGAGAGACTGATAGATGGATGGATGGATGGATGGATGGACGGACGCACGGACAGATAGATAGATGGATAGATAGATAGATAGATAGATGGATGGATAGATAGATAGTCTCCCATAAAACAGCTTGTTTTATTTCATGCACTCAAGAGACAAAAATTAAATAGACTTTGATAAAAAAAATAACATATTTGGTTTACTCACAACCTTCATGTGTTCAGCATACACAACTACAAAACTTATCAGTCCAGTTTCAGATATGTTTGAGATTGTTCTCTTATAACAAAACAGCTATCAACATGTCACATAATCAAAAGGAGGGAGGGAGGGAGAGCATGTGATCTGCAGCCCCGTTATAACTTCTTAGGAACCATAGAGTAAAGGAAGTTGCATATCAGAACATATATACATGAAACAGTAAGCAACAGGATCATAGATAAACCTTACTAGAAAAGGCTTGAAGAAGGTTGTCATTTCCAACAGATAATCTGTATTCTGTGACCTGAATAGGACTAGATGGTATTTTGTGGTCTCTTCCCATTCTAGGTCCTTTCGCTTTGCTGCTGAATATGCATGCCCAGTGTGGAATACATCTCCAGTTAAAACAGTGGATGTGCCTCTTAATGAGACATGCCACATAATCTGGTTATCTGAGTTCACACTGCCATATATTCCAGTTCAAATGATATAATGTGGGATTTTATTCAGCTATGTGGAAGGAGCCTCATTTCTACAGAGATAGTCCAGGAACACCTCAACAAGCAAGAGTGGCTGATTCCAGATGAGAAACTCCCACCTGGGCACACAGGAGACTGGGCGACTTGGAAGGTGCTGAATATTTGTGCAGATACAGAGCTAATCTTAAGAAATGGGGCTACAAAGTGGAGTCCACCGACATGCCATGTGAGTATGGAGAAGAACAAACCACAAAATCACCTACTGCAGTGTAGTCTAAGCCCCGCCACATGCACAACGAAGGACTTTCTTACAGCGACACCAGAGGCATTTGAAGTTGTCAGCTTCTGGTCAAAGAACATTTAGTATAATGCCAAGTTTTTTTTAAACTTTGTGGTTTTTTATACATTATAACTGTATTCTCAATTCGCTTCTGGCACAA